ACAAGTATGTTGCTTAGTTTAAATATTCGGAGATTTTTCCTATTATCATTCTTCTATCGATTTCTTGTTTGATTTGCATTGTGTTTAGATAACACATTCTATATGACCTGAATTATGTTAAATTTATTGAGGTTTGTTTTTTAACTCAGGATATCATCTGTTTTAGTATATGTTTTTTTGTGACTTCTACGATAGAATGTCTATTTTGCTGTTGTTTGGCAGGTTAATCTATAAATGTTGGTTACATCTTGTTGGCTCATGGCTGTATTGAGTTCTTTTATATCCTTACTGATTTTCTAGAGACAGGTGTTGAAGTCTCCTACTAGAATCAAAAATTCTTTTTTTCTTTTCAGTTTTATGAGTTTTTGCTTCATGTATTTTGCAACCTGTTGTTTGGTGTATGCACACACATTTGGGGTTACTATTTCTTCTTGGTGGACTGATATTTTATCTTTACACAATATTTCTCTGGTTATTTTCTTGCCTCAGAACTCTTTTTCTATTTGATATTATATAACTTATTCTGCTTTCTTTTGATTAATGTTTGTGTGGTATACCTTGTCTTTCTTGTTAGCTTAGTATAAGTAAAGTCTCTTGTAGACAGTGTATAGTTGGGTTTGTTTTTTTTTTACACTCAATCTGTCAATCTGTGTATTTTGGTTGGTATTTATATTCTCTGTAATTGATACCTCAGGACTTAAGATCTCATTTTATTTTTTGTAGTCTTCCTGTAAGAGAAAATCTCTCTATTTTTCACCTGATATTTTTTTCTTGCTGTTCTGTTTTTAATTTTTTTCCAGAATTTTATTTTGATTTACCTTTATATTTTAGTGTCTCTTTGTATCACTTCACTTCTTTAGAGGTTGCTGTTGGTGCTTCATTATATGTAAACAAATTATCACAGTCTTTTGCTATTGCATTTTCACAGTTTTAATGAAGTATAAAGACCAATTTTTTTTTATTTCCCTGTATTTCCCTCATTTATAATAAATTTTCCTCCTCTATATTTAGAACCAATTGGACTGTTATAATTTTTTTTCAACTGTCAAACATGATTTAGGGAATTCAAGAGAATGAAAATACATTATACTTATTCATATTTTTACTTTTTGTTATTTTTATTCACACTTGATATTCAGATATTCCTTTTCTATCATTCATTTTTGTTAAGTAAATTCCCTTTAGCCATTCTGTTTGAGTTGATCTTTTAGTGACAATTTTTGGTTTTCCTTCATTTTTAATAAAAATAGAAATATATTTGGTGTGGATAGGGTTCTGGGTTGACAGTTCTTTTCTTTATACCCTTGAGTAATGCTCTCCTTCCTTTTGGCTCCCTGTTTTCTCATGAGAAATCTGCTATCATTGGAATGTTCCCCTTGTAGTTAAAGTTTTGTTTGTCTCTTGCCACCTTCAAGACTTTTTTCTTTTCTTTTTACTTTTCTGATTTTGGTTTTATTTCATTGGGTTTATCCTTTTGGATTTGGGGTGTTTTTTTTTTTTGTTTTCCTTTTTTTCAGTTTTATGAATCCTTTGTTTTGAATTTTCCCAAGTCTGGAAAGGTTCTAAACACTTTTGGACTACTTTTATGTCTCATCCTTTTCCTTCTGGGAAACTGATAACATGATTTTTAGATCTTTTGTTTTTGTCCCACAGTTCTATGAGTCTGATTTTTTCTTTTTTAACATCTATTTTCTGTTTTACAGATTGGATATATGTTTTATATTTGAGTTCATTGACTCTTTCTCTGTTTCCTCCATTCTGCTGTTCAGTTTATCTGTTCAGTTCAGTTCAGTCATTCAGCTGTGTCCGACTCTTTGTGACCCCAAGAATCACAGCACTCCAGGCCTCCCTGTCCATCACCAACTGCCAGAGTTTACCCAAACTCATGTCCATCGAGTCGGTGATGCCATCCAGCCATCTCATCCTCTGTCATCCCCTTCTCCTCCTGCCCCCAGTCCCTCCCAGCATCAGGGTCTTTTCCAATGAGTCAACTCTTCGCATGAGGTGGCCAAAGTATTGGAGTTTCAGCTTCAGCATCAGTCCTTCCAATGAACACCCAGGACTGATCTCCTTTAGGATGGACTGGTTGGATCTCCTTGCAGTCCAAGGGACTCTCAAGAGTCTTCTCCAACACCA